CCCCTGTGCTATTGCGAGCGGCACAGGAACCCCCACACACAAGCCCGGAAGAAGTACCAACTAACCCACCCAGCAGGACCCAGAGCCAGATAGATCATAAACAGGAGAGATAAGCGCCACCATGCGGATCAGCCTCGACGCTCATCTGCAGCTGCGCCATGTCAAACTGCGCCGGCACCCGCGCCTGCGCCACCATTTTGTCCGCCGCCTCCTCACGGATCGTCCCGCATGTGTGCCGCGTAGCGCTAGGACGGGCCTTGTGTAGGCAAAATTTTGTCCGTCACTTGTGTCTCACGCCTGTTCCACCTGTACGATCTCGTTCTCGACATCGAGTTGCGATTCGTTGTGTGTATCATTATTTTGCGTGAGATTTACACCGAACGAACGCAACACACGTAAAGCCGTACGCCCCGCGCCCGGCGTGCAGCTAGGTGCTAGGATCTTCGCGCGCACACCGCACGCTCTCTCTCGTTGCGGTGTGCTGTGTGTGCAAAAGATAAGGGGGGTTTCGGGCCGCAGCTTCATCTCCGCGAGCGCCCTACTCTACCCAGGGGGCGAGGGAGACGCCCATCAGCACCCCGTGGAACTAGGGTGGTGCTGGTGCGCGGGTGGATGCGTGGTCAAACTGCCTTGCGCGCCCCCTCCCAGTCCCGGATCTGACGGCGCAGCATGTGGTTGGGGACCAGGATGCTGTGCTCGAGCGCGCCGCCCGTCAGAGGGCTCGTCGACTTGGTCGCGAGCCAGCGCTCGATCGCCGACCGCTCGTAAGCATGCCCGTCGGCCGCCATCACCGGGTCGCTCATGACCTCGGTCGTGATTGGGCAGATGAAGTCGTCCGGCGGCTCCTCCTCTCCCTCAAGCGGCGCCTCCGCCGCCGGTGACGAAGCGCCCTCGGCGACTCGCGCCTGATCCCCCGCCGCACGCGTCGCCCCGACCTCCAGCCTCGCGCTCTCCTCGAGCGCCGCTGCCAACTCCACATCCTCTCTCGCCGCCAGCGCTGCCTCATCCTCGGGCTCCTGCGACGGGCCAGCGCCCCCCCCGCCCTTCCCTTTCTTCTTCTTCTTCTTCCCCTTGCCCTTGGCGCGCTCCCCCGCCTCCTTCTCCGCCTCCTCCCCCGCCAGCAGCGCCTCGGCATGCCGCGTCGCCTCCGCCTCTGCCGCCGCTCTCTCCGCCTCCCTCGCCGCCGCCTCCGCCGCCCTCGCCGCCGCCGCATGCTCCTCGAGGGCGCGCACGCACTCGGCGTGGTCCTTCTCCTTGGCGTACTGCAGCGCTGTCTTGCCGCTCGCAGTGCGCGCTGTCGTATCCGCGCCCGCCCGCAGCAGGCGCCGCACGACGGCGGGGTGGTTGTTGGCGGCGGCGATCACCAGCGCGGTGCTGCCGTTGCTGCTCTGCAGGTTGATCTCCGCGCCGCGCTGCAGCAGCAGCTCGACCACCCGCTCGCGGCCGTAGCCGGCGGCGCCCATCAGCGCGGTGACGCCTGCGCTGTCCTGCAAGTTGATCTCCGCGCCGTGCAGCAGCAGCAAGTCGACCACCCGCTCGTGGCCTTCGGTAGCGGCGAGCATCAGCGCGGTGCCGCCGTCGCTCCTCTGCAGGTTGATCTCCGCGCCTCGCTGAAGCAGCAGCTCGACCACCCGCTCGTGGCCTTTGCTGGCGGCGATCATCAGCGCGGTGAAACCACAGCCGTCGCTCCTTTGTAGGTTGATCTCCGCGCCGCGCCGCAACAGAAGATCGACCACCCGCTCGTGGCCGCTGCTGGCGGCGAGCATCAGCGGGGTGAAACCGCTCGCATTGCCTACCCCGCGAGTCGCGTTGACCTGCCCGCCGCTGTCGAGCCACGCCAGCAGCGCCGCCTCGTCGCCTCGCCCAGCCGCGTTCGCCGCCTCTGCGGGAAGGCTGCCCAGTGAGCCGGAAGAGGCCGCGGCACTCGCTCCCGCCACCGCCTCGCCCGAGGAAGCGCCGCCCGCGCCGCCCGCCGCCGCCTCGCGCCGGCTCGCAGTCACCTCCGCGACGTGCTGCCGGAAGGCCTCGACGCACGCGGCGTGGCCGCTCTTCTTGGCCAGCTGCAGCGCTGTCTTGCCGCTCGCACTGCGCGCCGACGCGTCTGCGCCAGCCCGCAGCAAGCGGAGCACGACGGCGGGGTGGGCTTCGAAAGCGGCGACCATCAGCGCGGTGCTGCCGCTGCTGCTCTGTAGGTTGATCTCCGCGCCTCGCTGCAGCAGCAGCTCGACCACCCGCTCGTGGCCCTCCTGGGCGGCGTCCATCAGCGCGGTGTCGCCGTCGCTCCTCTGCTTGTTGACCTCTGCGCCGCGCTGCAGCAGCAGCTCGACCACCCGCTCGTGGCCGCTGCTGGCGGCGAGCATCAGCGGGGTGTAGCCGCTCAAATTGCCTGCGCCGCCAATCGCGTTGACCCGCCCGCCGCTGTCAAGCCACGACAGCAGCGCCGCCTGATCGCCTTGTACAACCGCTTTCGCCGCCTCTGCGGGAAGGCTGCCCAGTAAGCTGGGAGAGGCCGCGTCACTCGCTCCCGCCGCCTCGCCCGAGATGGCGCCTGCTGCCATGTGTGTGTTTGTATTCAGGGTTCCCGCTCTTTGTGGGTGGGGGCGGCGTTCACCGCGATCAACAGCAGGGAGACGTCCACCAGCACGCAGCACCCCGTGGTACGAGGGTGGTGCTGGTGCTGCTCGATGAGGAGTTGCACGTTCGCCGCCTTCCAGATCCAGTATCCAGAGGATCTCGCCGACCCCCTTCCCGAACCCAGAACCCACCGAACGACTCGAACAGCAGCAGCTGCACGTCGACGTGACGTCCTCCCTGCACCCTGGCGTAGCGATACTCGCCGCCATATAGGACGGTATGCGGCGGTCGCCGCCCACTCCACCCTTCCCCCACTATTTGCCAGCGAGAGCCGCTGAGACGGCCGCGACCCGTGTCCCGCCGTGTTTACACACCGTCAACATCGCGCCAGCAACCGCCGCACGCTAAACGGCTCTTGCTACCACTGGGTTACCAATTCCTATCGCCCCACAAGCCACAAGTGTTCACTTGGCGCCCCTTCCGCCCGACCTGGCCTTGTGCTCGGGCGGCAAGTAAAAGCTGCGCGGCTGCCCGTCCCACTCCGTCATGCGCAGCGGGAGCCGCTGTCGCTCCTGCAAGGCGGCGACTGGCGACGGCGGCGGAGGTGCGGGGCAGAGCTGCAGTGGCTTGTGCATCGCGTGCTGCAGCCCGAGCTGTGCGACCAGGCGCGCCATCTCGGGGAAGGTTTGCTCGCACTTGACCCAATAGTAGGTGAAGTGGATGGCGTCAAACATGAGTGGCGCGTGGCGGATCGCGACGTCGGTGTAGTTGTAGTGCCGCACTCGGGAGGCGTCGAGCCAGGCCGTCTCGAGCGCCGCAACCTGATGCGCGTCGATGCTCGCGCACTCGCCCTTGAAGCGCTTCGCCGAGCGCATCAAGAACCCGCCGCCCGCCGGCTGGTACACGAGGTGGCTCTGCAGCGTCCGGCGCGGGAAGTTGCTGAGCACCGTCTGCGGCAGCACGCCGCGCAGCGGGCTGCAAAACTCCATCTCGTGCAGCGCCTGTCGGGGGGAGCGGTAGCCTTGGTTGGTGGTGGCTGGTGGCTATGCCGCTGCTGCTGCGGCCCTCTCGGCGAGGGCGACGGATCAGCGCTACGGGATCGTGTGTCCGCGTGGCGGCACCATCACGGCCACTCCCCGCCACTCCCCGCCACTCACGGCGTATCGGCACCATCCCATTGACGACCCACAGGATGGGCTTGCGCACGCTGCCGCGTTGGACTGAGAAGCTCTCACCGCCTCCGCCTCCGCCTCCGCCTCCGCCGCCTCCGCCGCCTCCGCCGCCGCCGCCGCCGCCGCCGCCGCCGCCGCCTCCGCCGCCGCCGCCGCCGCCTCCATGGCGGTGCGACTGCATGCAGTCGGGCAGCGTATCTGGCCGCACGTTCACTGCGCCCCAGGCGGCCTGCGGCGGGCGGGAGGCGCCGCACGATTTGATGTCGCGGTGTGGGGTGATGGGCGCTATGGCGCGCGAGGGTGTGGAGGTGGAGCGGCGGTCGCCTGGTACGAGATGAAGAAGTCGGACTCGCACAGGTGGTCCGGCACGGTGAGTGCGCCGCTCCACTCGTGCGGCCGCGTCAGCAGCAGGAGCCTCATCCGCTCCGCCTCGCTGGCGTTGGCAAACGGCGAGGACAGGAGGCACGGCGCACCAGGTGCGCCGCACGAGGCGTGGAAGCCGGTCTTGCCGACCACGCGCGGCACGCAGCCGGTGGCCCACGTCGCTTGGCTCGCCTGGGCGCCCGGAATCACCGTGGGTCGGCGCTTGGCGATGTTGGATCTGCTAAAGACGGGATCGCTCATGTTCCATTCGACGGGCGACCCGCTCGCCAGCAGGCCCAGCGCCGCCCACGCCACCTCGCGGATCTGCGAGTCGCCGACGTAGATAACCCCGGCGTACCTCTCCCGCACCTCTGCCGCGCGCACGAGCTCCTCTCCTGGGGCCGTGGCCTCCAGCTCCCACCGGAAGCCGCTCGCCGAGCGGATGGCGTCGCGGCCGGCCATCACGTTGGCTGACCACACCGTGGAACTGACGCCGTACAAGCCCGTGTCTGAGGTGGTGCCCGAAGGCAGCGGTGGCATGCCCGCGAACTGCACGCAGCCAGCGCCCTGCGCGCACAGGGCAAACATGGCCCCCCGGGCCGTTTTGTTGTCGCAGGGACCTGTTCTTTTTTTTCTACTTCGATGTTATGAAAACAAACGCAAGGCGGACACAAGCACATCGCTCTCTCGGTCCCACTTAAAATCCCTGTGTGGTGGCGGCGTGCCGTCCTCCCATCCCTCCCTTGGGTTGTCTGTTTTCTTTCTGTCTTTCTTTTTCTCTCGGTCCCACAGACATCCCGCACACCCGCCGCACACCCGCCGCCCCCGCGCGCGCCCCACCCCGGCCGGGAGAGAGGGGAGTGACAGTTTGGGATGGCAACAGAACGAGTATGAGTCCTTCCTGGCTCAACAACGCAGAGAGAAATGAAAGCCGTCCGGCTCACAAGTCCGGCTCACGCGCCCCGACTGACCCTCTACCGCACTGGTCACTTCCGCCCCCTCGCTCCCAACCCATCCATCCACCTCGCCGCGAGGCGCCGCGCAATCTCGGGCGATCTCGGGCCATCTCGGAGCTCCACGCCACGCCCCCCCCCCGCCCCCGCCGCCGTGCCGCGCTATCTCGGGCGATCTCGGAGCGTCGCTCGCGCGGCGGCACACCTGCTCAAAAAAGGAAGGGCCCGGTTGGAGCCACGGGGCTCACACACTCGCTCAGGGCGCCGCCTCACTCTGCGCCACTTTTGAGGCGTTGGCGAAGGCCGGTGCGGCGGCACCCCGCTCGGCGCGTTCCTCGCCCTCCACTTTTCTTTTGAGCTTAGCCGTATCAAGAATACTCATCATCATCTGTCCAGCGTCCACCCATACCGCGTCGGTGTCCAGTCCGAGCCTGAGGAGACTGTTCTTCACCTTCCTACATACATACATACTCACTCACACACTTAGCCTTCGATGTTATGAAACAAACGCAAGGCGAACATGGCATATCGCTCTCGGGCCCACAGACATCCCGCACACCCGCCGCCCCCCGCGCGCGCCCCACCCCGGCCGGCGGGCCGGGAGAAAGGGGAGTGACAGTTTGGGATGGCAACAGAACGAGTATCTTGCACTCCAATCTCCATCCATGTGCAAGAACGCAGATAAAGGACTGGGGCTGGTCCGGCCCACAAGTCCGGCTCATGCGCCTCGACTGACCATCTACCGCACTGAACACTTCCGCCCCGTCGCTCCCAAACCATCCACCTCGCCTCGGGCCGCGCCGCGCAATCTCGGTCGAAAATAAAACGGACATCCCAAGCTAGGGCTGGGTCGAGGACAGACACGTCCCCACCTTTGCAGGATTTTGCAAGGGCGAGGGGGAGGGGGCGCATCGCGGCGTGGAGAGGGCTCACAAGTTGCGGCGACTCACGTCGACCCGTTGAAATTTCTTTCCGCTTGATACGTACCCTGCTTCCGTGTACGGAGGGCCCGTCCGGACGATCATGCTTGGTGCCCCCCCCCGGGACCCCCCGTGCGGGCTTCTCATGACAACGCGGCAGCCAGTCGCGCTAAACTCCGCTACGTGGCGCCGTACTGGGTCCTGTTGAGCTACTGCGCCGCAGGCCGCACTCTTGTGCGGTTTTGCCTTTGGCAGGGCCAGACCGGCGCACGGGCCACGGAATCAAAGGCCCAGCAGCGCCCAGCCCGTGCCGAACGCGTCGTGGCACGCGCAGTGCGCCTCGTTCTGCTGCAGTGGCCGCTGCCCGCGGCGGCGAGCAGCCGTGACGTTGAAAGGGTGGTAGCGGCCGTTGTTGTGGAGCGCCACGGTGAGGGCCAGCGCGCGCTGCGGCGGCGTGAGTGCGTGCATCGCCTGGAGGTAGGCGACCGCGTTGAGGATGGCTGCGTCGGTGCAGCCTCCCTCCAGCGCCTCGTACAGCTCCGCCGTGCGGTCAAACGCCCGGAGGTGCTCCAGCGGGATCCCAACCTGGTTGCCGCCGCCGTAGCTGGCCGGCATCTTGGCGCCGCCGGCCGCCTTGATTGCGTCGACGCCGCGGTGCAGCAGCAGGAGGGAGCGGTGCTTGGTCTCCTCCTCGCCGCTGCGCGGGCGAGACTCGATCACGAACTCGCCGTAGGAGTCGTCCTCCTCCTCGTCGAGCGGCTCAATCTTGAACACCTGCCCGATGGTGAGGGAGCGGGTCGTGCCGGCCGGCACCGCCGTCCAGCCAAAGGGCGCGTCAGCGATCTTTGCCGTCGAGTCTTTTAGCCCAGACTCGCCGTGGAAGGTGGCCTTGATCTCGCCGTCTGGCGTGAGGACGACCGAGACGTGCACTCCGAGCAGCGCTGGGAGGTTCGTCGGGTTCTCGACCAAATTGCGGCCGATGGTGGCGAAGTCAGCACGGCCGAGCTGGACCGGGGCGTTGAGGATCAGCGGGCGCGTGTCTGGCGCGATGTCAGCGCAGGACAGGCGGCGAAGGAGGATCATTATGACGAGGGTTGCGAAAAGTGCGATGGAGGGGACGTCGCGGAAAATTTTGCGCCTCTGACAACAGGGTTTTTCAAGAAGATGCCTCCGGCCATTCTCGAGATCCTTTGCCGCGTTGGGTAGCGAGGATTGGTGCGTGACGCGTGCGGAGACGGCTCCCTCGATACGCGTGGTGTATGCTGCAGGGCAGGGCTTTACGGAGGTCATTATCGGCGCCACCGACCGTGAAATGTCCTGTTCCACAGCCCCCATGCACAAGGTGCATGGGTGCAGTCATAGTATGTAGGGCTTCTCTCCCAATCTTTTGAGCACTCACCGCCAGACGCCGTTCCGAGATTTCTGTGAACAGCGTCTCTTCTCGACAGATCTCAAAGCACGCCGACCCGATCAAGTGAGAACGGTGCAGCGCCCTGCCGCGACCGCCACCCAGAGGGCCGCCCTGGGACTGCGCCGCCCGCTCCGCGTTGGAATTGCCCATGCGGCCGCCGCCACATCCTCAATTTCTCCGCTCATCAGACACACTGCCTCCGTCCGATCAGGTGCCGAGTCTGAGGTGCGCCTCGCTCTTCATCTCCTTCTAGATGCCTCCAGCCTTCCAACCCCCACAAAGAAACGCAAACACAGCCCACTTCCCTGGCGGGGCGCGTACCATGGCTTCGCACGAGTCGCGCGGCCTCCCGAGCGTCGACGCGCCCAAGCCACGGCACGAGGGCCTTCGAGGTCCCATGTATTGCGGCCAGGCAATGAACGACGATTCGCCCACCGCCGCTTCGTTGCTGCCACTTCCGGCCACCGCCGCCGTTGTTGCGCTCCCTCTGCCGCACAAGGTGTCGCCTTATTCTTCGCCGCTGCCACCCAGGCATTCTCCGCCCAGCTGACCATTATGCCGCTGCCTCAGGACACCGCCCTCTGCAGGCTCAACGTCCGAGCTTTGTCCCCCGTCACTCTCCTCTCATTTCAGACCCCACACATGCGCATAGCTGTTCGCGCTTCCGACCAATGCAGGCGCCTTGCCTCACCCCTCTCGCGGGCGGCCCCCATTCTCTCTGCTCTGCAGGACGCGCGCCGAGAGGCGCTACATGGTCGACTTCAATGAGAGCGAGGGCGAGTCGGCTTTCTTGGTTGTGAGATCAACAAGGGGCGTCTGGTTCGACAACCCCCACGTGTTCCATCGGAGCCTCGCAAAGGTGCCAATCAGCTTTTGTTTCGCGGAGGGGGCCCAGGTTCAGTCCGAGCTCGTGCCAACGGCTTCCGTCAAGGTCGGTGGCTACTTCGCTTCCAGTGCGGATTATGAGGAGTGGTATCAGCGGCGCCGCGCGAGCCTGACGCTGCCGCCTTCGCTCGGAGCTGAGGTGCGCACTTTTACGCCAGGATCGGCGTTGTCCCTGCAGTGTCGCCGTCTCCAAACATTTACATTTACATTTACGTTTCTCCTTCGCGCAGGCGTGCGGCGTCAACAACGACGTCGTTGTGAAGGAGGAGGCCGCCGCCGAGGAGGCCACCTCCGAGAAGGCCGTCGTCGCCGAGGAGTCCGCCACCGAGGAGGCGACCATCAAGTCCGCCGCCGGCGAGGTGTCAGCCGCCGGCGAGGTGTCTGCCGCCGCGGAGGAGTCCGCCGCCACCAAGTCCGCCGCCGCCGAGTCTGCCACCGGGACGGCCGCCACCGAGGAGGCGAGCACCGAGGAGTCCGCCACCAAGCCCGCCGCCGCCGAGGAGTCCGCCGCCGCTGAGGCAGTCGCCGAGGAGGCGCCCGTCGTCGAGGAGGCCGTCGCCAAGGAGGCTGCCAAGGAGGTCGAGAAGCCGGCCAAGACCGTTTCCAATACGCCCGACCCAGCGGTGAGCGCGCCGCAGCATTCTCTCATGGCACTCCTCGCTCTCCCACCGGTAATAATCTCCCTTCCCGTGTGCCCCTATCGCGCTTTGCAGGACGCCACCTGCTACCCGGGCCTGCCCACGCCGATGGCGGCGGGGAAGAGCGGGCCCGCGTCGGCCCGCAGCGGCTTCGGACCGGGCTACGTGGACGGCGTCGAGGCTGCAGTCCGCCGGCTGGGCGAGAGCGTCAAGTACCAGGCTACGCCCGCCGACGGCAAGAAGTCGCCGTCGCCGGGAGTCCCCACCTCCGGCGCAGTGGCGCCCAAGCCCCTTGGCGCGGGCGCGGGCGCGGGGCTGGCTGAGGCCGCGGCCGCCGAGAGGCGCGAGTACTGGGAGGGCATTCGCAAGAAGGCGAAGGCCGCGCTCGATCTCAGTGCCGAGCGACGGGAGAAGTGGGCGGACTTGCAGTCGCGGCGCTCGAGGAAGTGCCGGCGCAAGGCAAGGCGCTGGCGCAAGCCGAAGAGTGGCAAGAACCGGCGCCGCGATCCGCAGACGTGCGGCGCCGGCGTTGGCACATGCGGCGCCGGCGGTCGCGCCGGCCTCAAGGCGGCGGCCGACTGCGTGCGGGGCGGCTACACGAAGGCCGCGGGCGCCTTCCGGTGGCTGCTCCTCGTCTGCATCCCCGCCTTTGGCCACTGCGAGCCCGCCGTGCCTAGCCCGACGGAGGTGGCCTCGGCCTTCTCGTCTGCCGTCGCCTCGGCAGCCTCCGTCGCCTCGTCGGCGTCCTCTACCTTCTCATCCGGCGTCGCCTCGGCGGCGTCCTCGGCCTTCTCGCCCGCCGTCGCCTCGAAGGCGTCCTCGCTCGTGAGCTGCTCGCCGCTTCTCATGCCCGCAATCGTGCTCATCCTCCTCGCCATCGCCTGCGGCGCCTCCTGGCCGACCGCGGCGAGCGGAAAGGGGGGGGCTCGCGGCGCGGCGTGGGCCACCTGCCTCACCGCCGCCACGGCGCGCCTCACCGGCACGGCGGCGGCGCCTGCCGGCTTCTTCGGGAGCGCCTTCTCGTGGCTCGCGGCGGGTCCGCCGCAGGTCGCCGCCGCGGCCGCCGCCCTGGCCGTCATCGGCACGGTAATGTGGCGCCGCAACTCAAAGGCCCGCCGCCTCGGCTGGTCCAGCCTGCTCGGCATTCTTCTCTGCTTGACCACCGTCTCTGGCGGCTTGGTCACCGCCGCTGGCGGCGCCGCGCTTGCTGCATCCTCAACTGCGCTGCCAGACGTCACTGCGCTTCCGGCGAGTCCCGCTACCACCACACCTCCGCACCCCGGATGCCCGCATCCTCAACCCCTTGCCGCCGGCACCTACTTAGGCCATGGGCGCATTAATGGCCTACGACCCCCTGGACCACGAGGAGGTCCTCAACGAGATCCACACGAAATCGCGCAAGCTACGAATATCGCCAAGCACATCTCCATGCCACTGCCCCAAAGGCTGCGTGCCGTGGTTCATGGCCATTGGTGCGAGATACATGTTCCCGAACATGATCAAAGCCAGTATGGCTTACGTCATAGCAGCAGTGGGCTCGCAACGCAAGGCAGCGCCTTCACTCCTGCCTCATCTCATCTACGATGGCAAGCCAACAAACATCACGGCCTGGTTGCAAGGGCAAGGGGTGGAGGTCATATTTCATCGGCTGAGCTTCATAGACAAGTTGAGGGAAGCTGGGTTGGGTCACAACCCCATCGTTGGCGCCTACCTGCGGCTCGATCTCACAGTCAACGACACCGGACCGCTTGGCGCGCATCTACGTGGCGAGAAGAGCAGATGCCAATCCACAGTGTCCTACAAGCAGGTACTGTACACAGACACGGATGTCGTGTTCTTGGGGGACATTGGCCAGCAGAATCTCATTCGGCCTCGGAAGGGGGGGCTGTTGGCCATGGGTCCTGAAGCCAAAAGAGGCTCCGCTCCCAGCAACTCCGGGGTGATGGTGATGGACGTGGAGCGGTTCTCGCAAAAGCGCGACGCACTTCTGCGCTTTGGGGTGGAGCACAAGTTTCACTTTCCTGCCGTAGACCAGGGTCTCCTCCTGGAGTTTTTCAAGGGATCAATCTCCAAGCTACCGGATGAGTGGAACTGGAAGGCGTACTGGGGCTGGCAAAAGAAGAAGAAGACAAACATACGCATCGCCCATTTCCATGGCCCGAAGCCAAGGGGGGTATATGGGTGGTATTGCCTGTGCAAATACAAGGCCTACTCTCCGGGGGTCTACTCAGAATACAAGGATCCATGTGAACAAGAAGCCAAGGAGACCACCGGAAACAAGAGAGAGGACGTGTTCAAAGCATACAAAGGACTCCTTGACCAAAGCCTCTCAGCAGACGGGGGAGCACTCGCCTTTTACCTGCTCCTGGTGTGGACAAACTACTTGCGGCTGTCTGGGCAATATCCTTCCGACCCGAGATTGGGATCCGATCAAGCAATGTTGCGGTCCTGCCTGCTCAACAGCAAGATGGATCGGTGGCCACCGGGCATAAGGGATGAACTAGCTGCCCACTTGTCGATAGCGGGATTGAACACCAGCATAGGCGGGTACTTATAGCAATGCCGCCAGATCCTGTAAAATGCAGCGTTGCCTCACCCGAGAGATCCGCATCTGTGTCGCTGTAGAAGTGTAGTTGTGCGGCAAGCCCTTGTTGTCAAAACGAGTGCGTATAGCATAGGATTAGGTTGAAGCCCAACTGTCTGCCAACTTCATTTCTTCATTCACTGTGGAGTTAGTCAATGGCAAGCACCACATTGGGCTTTTGAGCCGAAATCGACCCAGGAAAATCGTTGCGGCCCCTTCCCGCCCTTTCCGGACCGCGCCACGCTCACCACACATGCCCCGTGAGCTAATCTAGCCCGTACACTATCAAAACACCCGTACATGGAAGCCACATCTCATCACCGTACCCCAACACGCCGGCCCGGCGACCGGCAGCAGCACCGGCGCCGTGCCGGCAAAACGGCCGGAACTGACTACTCACGGCTCAGTCACCGTTCTCGCGGTGGGAACGCACCGCCTGGCGTACACCAGCTGCCGCTGCCGCCCCCTGGCGGCTCGTGTCCAGCTCTCCCGCTGCTACCGCCGCCTCGAGTGCTTCCGCAATCGACCGAGCCGGACTGCCGCCGCCGGACCCCTTTCGCTTCGCCGAGATCTTGCCGTTGTTCATACGCGCCCAATCAGCGCGCTGCAAGAAGCGCTGATTGTCGGCGCCTGTGTCGCACCGCAACCGCTCGCTGACCGTGAGCCGAGTGAACGCTTGCTGTATGTAGCCGACCGTGAAGCTCTGCCGCCATCGAGCGTTCCGCCCAGGCTTGCGCGACTCGTGGTCCGCCCGCTCGGTCATGAGGCGGCGGCGGCAAGTCGCATGCTTGATTGTCTTCTTGAACAGGGCGCCGAAGGACTCGCACGCGTCGCAGGAGCGCCGCGCAGGGTCTCCGAGCGAAACCATCTGCCTGGGCACAATGAACAGTAAGATATGAGGCACCCACGAGACAACGCCTTCCATCGGCTTGAGCTCGTACAAGTCGTCGCAGCACTTCGCCGCCAAGTTGAATACCTCGATGGCGCGACCCTGGCGGTAGTCGTCCGTGTCACTCTCAACGTCGATCGGCCAAGGCCTGTGCATGGTCGTTACTAGCGAGAGAAACCGGTCCCATCGGACAGCGTCTTTCACCATGTCCGGCTCCTCTTCCTCCTCGGCGGCGACGTCCTCGTCGCTCACCTCGTACTCCTCGTCGTCAACCTCGTCGACGCCGCCGCTGCCAGCCCGCAGGTCGTTTGCAACTTTCGCCACCGTGTCGTCGGGGCAGCTAGCGAGGCGGAGGAGGAAGGGCAGGTACGCCCACGCGTGCTCGAGGAATCGCTTCACCTCTCGGCCGATCCAGCGCGACGCCGGGTCCTCCTCCGGGTCGGCCGACGCGTAGGGGGTGGCTGCGGCGGGTCCGGGGAGGGGGTAATACTCATCGATCCCATACTCTCGCCAACCCCTAGCTCCTCTTCCCCTTCTGTGGGTCTCCCTATCGATCGAAGGAAGGTATCCGCGTAATGTCGTGGCGACTCCTCCATCTGCTCCGTGGAGGTCGGATCTAAAGTGGGCCCTCTCTCAATGTCCCAATTACAACAAGGTAGGATGGTAGCTAGGTTGCAGGTGAAGTACAACAAGGCTAAAAAAAAACTTGCGAGAAACGCCAGCTCGGTGTCGGCTAACCTCGGAATGTAAGCGCACTATGGCTGTGCTGTCTCCTACACAGCCATCTTACCTAAGGATGGCTGAGCTAGCTGCAGTGAAGCCAGAGCCTCCAGGCCGATGGCTGCAATACACACAGGGCAGCCATCCTGAGTAGGGATGGCTGGATGGAAGCTCGCTGCTGCAGCCATACCGCACGCCCCGGGGCGGGCCCTCATGGCTGAGCTGGCTATACGCAGCCATCTTGGGTAAGATGGCTGGGCCACAGCCATTTCAGCCATCTACTATGGCTGGGGCACAGTCAGTGCAGCCATCCTCCGGAGCATGGCTGGTGATAATTCGATGGCAGCCGTCCGCCGCGGGCGCCACACGCACAAATGGCTGCGCGCTTGCCGCCCCCGGCCTCGCGGGACGGCTGCCATTGGCTGCCATCGAATTATCACCAGCCATGGCTCTGGAGGATGGCTGCAAGCTCTGTGCCACAGCCATAGTAGATGGCTGAAATGGCTGAAATGGCTGTCCCCCAGCCATCTTACCCAAGATGGCTGCGATGTAGCCAGCTCAGCCAAGAGGGCTCACCTCGAGGCGGGCGGTCGGTAACCGGTTATGGCTGCGGTAGTGCGTCTCCAGCCATGTCTACTAAGGATGGCTGCCGTGTGTGTGTTGCAGCCATCGGGCTGAAGGATGTGGCTGCACTGAGAGAGAGATTTTTATTAACCAACAAGAAATCACGACTCTCACAGTGATTTGGGCTCGGCAGCTTGTTACTCGCATAATGTGGGTAAACGAAAAAAGTAGCGCCCAATTCGTCTACGTACGGCTTAGTGTGTGGTTGGGGTGGCCTCAGGCATCCCCAAGGGAGCCTCTGCGGTGCCACATAAGCAGCTGAGTGATTGTCGAGACTTTAAAGGATTCGTTTGAAGAAACGCAAACAAGACAAACGGTACTATGGTCACCAGTAAACGAAAATTCGACTTTGAGGGATCATATCTCAAAAGGCTGGGTGAGAGCATAGCATTATTGTTGCATATTATACCACATAAGGTCAAACTTGACCCCAGAAGCATCAAGAACCCGATGCTCCGGCTCGACTGTGCCGGCACACTGCCTCCTCGCGCACGCTGCTCGCAGGCCGTTGCGGCCCGTGGTGCGCCAGAGAGAGAGGTCGACGCGTTGCCCCCGCCGGCGACCCCGCGCGGCTCAGGCCAGCCAGAAGGTGTGTGGTGACGGCACCGTGGCAGGAGTGCGGAGAAGAGCTCGCCGAACGCGAGCAGCAGATGGCCAAAGTGTGCCAGCGCGAGAGCCTCGCGAGCGGGCGCAGAAGGAGCTCGCCGTGACACGATGCCGGGCCGGGCGGTGGTGGTGCTCTGGCGACTGTGCACAGTGGGCAAAGTCAGGCTGCAACAGGGCAGCACGTTGGTAGTGCCCTGCTGCAGCCTGGCCTGACATGCACAGGGCGAACAGAGGCGGTACTATCGTCCGGCGCTCGTCACCGAATCTGGGCGAACTTCGACCGCCGCCACAGCTCACCACGAGCACGCAGCGACAAAATGTTGACTGTATGGAAGTCGAGGCTGGTCCATAGGAAGAGGCTGCCGTGCGAGCCGGCAGCAGGCTGGCTCGTCGTGGACTGCCGCGGCGACTTTTTTCGGTGTCTTTCTTGATAGTACCGAATACGGTACTTTCGTTTACCCACACTCTGCGAGTAGCTCTCTCTGCACTGTAGCTAGCTCAGCCATCCTTAGGTAAGATGGCAGTGTAGGAGACAGCAGTAGCTAGCTCAGCCATCCTTAGGTAAGATGGCAGTGTAGGAGACAGCACAGCCATAGTGCGCTTACATTCCGACCACTTGTAGTGAGCGTCGGGCTGGTGGTTCGACACCGAGAAACGGAAAATCCTGTGAAGAAAAGAGTCTTACAACAAAACTCCCTCGCACAACACTGGGCACGGGACTGGCGCGCACTGGCACGAACACAGGTACACCACGGGAGCCGCCTAAGCGACTCCTGCGAGGGTGGCGAGGCACTTAGCTCCGTGCACCCGCCCACCCCCGCCACAGGCAAGCTCATTCACGACCTGCTCTGCGATGGCCGTGTGAAGAACGACTGAGATGCGCTGCTTCTGCAGCCCCAGCCAGCTCTTGGTGGTCCAAGTCACCTCATCGAGGTACTGGGCCCGCGTCAGCTTGTTCTGTAGCACGTCCGCCGCTCTCCGGAGGATCTCACGGACCCCCTTTCCGAACCCGCCGAACGATTCGAACAGCAGCAGCTGCACTTCGACGCCCTTGTCTTCCCTGGCGTAGCGATAGTCCCCGCCGTAGGACGGTATGCGGCGGTCGCCGCCCACCACCCTGCCCCCCCTGGTATGCCAGCGCCCAGTCCCTTGCCCTCTCTCGCCCTTGCTCTTCCTCTCCCCCTCCATGCCGCCCCCCCCGTACCCCTCCCCCTCCCCCCCCCCCTCCTCCTCTCCCCCCCCCTCTCCCTGCCCCCCACCTCCCTCTCCCTCCTCGCAGTAGGGCCCATGCCCCATGACCATGTTCCGGTAGAATGATTCAGTGTTGCCGAAAGCGACAAAAGCGCCCTTCCGACCGTGCTCCCCGCTGCTGCTGAGGGAACAGACGACCTTGACGTCTCCGCAATAGTGCGTGCCGTGCGAGCCAATGTTGTCCGCGTCCACGTCGGGTTGTTTGTTGTAACTCTGACCGAGGTGGGCTTTCGGCTCCATTCGCACAGCGGTGCCCCACGCGGCGCGTAGGGCGAGGATGAGGCGTCGAAGCGTGTACTTGTGTCTGGTGTTGTGGCCCTGCTGCGGTACGTTGACAGCAGCGTCGCCATACTCGTCGTGGGTCTTCCCATTCCGAGTCTTCTTGCCCGCCGCCGCGGCCTGGCAGGCCACGTCGAGGGGGAGACCCAGGCGGCGCTGCACCGAAAGACGCATCGCCCAAGTCTCCATTCGCATGTCATCCCGCATTGGGATGGCGTTGAGGAAGGCGCCGGCGCCATCCTGGCTCACCGCCACGAAGCGGACTGCCTCCCGCCAAGCCGCATGCCTCGCCCGCTCCCTGCCCTTGGCCTGCGCCTTGCCCTTCTTGCCGCGAGGAGCGGACCGCGATCCCTTGGAGCCCTCCTGCCTTAGCTCGAGGGCGAGGTCGCGCCAGTTCCTGTTGTGGACCACCGTCGTGAAGCGCCGCTGCGCCTGGTGTAGGAACTCGTGCTTGGACGTGAACTCGGCGAGGGGCAGCAGCTCCTTGGCCTGGACGAGAGTATGCGGACGGAAGCGCGAGAGCGCCACCCTCGTAGCCGGCTCCGGCGGCCGCGCGGAGGCGCGCAGCTTCTCGCCCTCGTCGGGCTCGTCCCACGGCTCCACCTCGACTTCCGGGGGCCTGCCCGTCGTGCCACCGACCAGGTCAAAGTACTCCGCCTCCGTCTTGTCGTCCCACTCCTTCCACGTCGCCGTGATCTCGCCGTGCTCCTTCTTGAGCCTGTCATGCGCCGCCCGCAGCTCGTCGAAATCGGAGCCCGGCGCCTTGCTCACGTCAAGGTCGCGGAAAGGAGCATGCAGCTGGCGCATGGGCCCAGCGACGAGCGCCCACGTGCCAATCCACGCCGGCTCGCGAATGTCGACGGCGCTGGTGAGGCCCATGCCGCCCATCTTGACGGGCAGGCGCGCCTGCTTGCGCGCGCGCTCCCAGCGTGTGCCGGCGGCGCCGACCCGCGCCCCGCCGACGAGCTTGTATAGCGCCGTGTCAATCAGCTCGTCGTGCCTCTCCGCTGCCGGGAGGGTGACCGACGGCGGCATGGCGCGAAGGAAGAAGGTGAGCGTCGTGTTGCTGCAGAAGCGCAGCAGGACCTGCATCACCTGCTGCGCCGTGTGGATCTCCTTCGTGTCGCGCAGCTTGAGGATGCCCTCTAGCGGCTTGAGCGCCCTCTCGACTCTCGCCACGAGCTCCTTCTTCCGCCATTCGTCATCGCCGAGGTACGCCCCGAGCACGCGGATGCCTCGCAGGGTGCCGCCCGCGTACTTGCCGTCGGGAGGCGCCGCCGGCGTGCCCCTCACGCTCGGGTAGTCGCGCACCGCCTCGAGCGACGCGGGGTCGGGAGCCCAGATCTGACGCTTGCTGACGTTGCTCTCCACCCCGCTCCACTTCTGAGCAAGGGCGTCGCCTTCGAGCATCGCCTCGAGCGCGGGCCTCGGCGCGTCCGCGACGTAGGTGTCATCAAGGTAGGCTAAAATGAGGGCGGACGGGTTGCGCACTTGCATCTCGAGGAGCGTCCAGTGGTAGCCGATGGCGAAGAGGAACGGTCCGAGCGGGTCCCCCTGCGCGCATCCCTCGGCCGACATGAAGACATTGCCGTCGCCGTCCCGCGCCTCCTCGTTGAAGAGGAAGAGGCGGCGCGGGACCTTGTACCACAGCGCCACCGTGGGGATGAGCTCGGGGTACCAGCGACGCAGGCCAGCAAAGATGGCCTCTCGTGAGATGGAGTTGAAGCCGTTCTTCTTGTCGTCCGAGGCGACGGCGTGGCCCGGGTTGCGCCGCAGGTGCTCTGACAGAAGCTGCACGGCGACCTCGGCGCCGCCTGCGAGGCCCACGCCAACCTGCAGAGGGATGTTGCAGTCCTTGACGCGCGCCTCCGCCTCCTCCTCCGACATGCCCAGGCCGCCTTCCGCGAGCGGGCGGCGGCAGATTTCGCGCATGTCGTCGACAATGAGGCGGCGCGAGTCGGCGGTGCGGCCGGTAAACAGGTCGCACATGTCAGAGCTGCGGTGTTTCATGAGGACCCGGTTGGCGAGGCGGCGGATGGCTGCAGGGATGCCGATGGGGCGGGTGCCGGTGACGTTGCCCATGTCGTCTCGCTTCTCGATTCCGAGCAGCTGGAGGTCGCCCCAGAGCGCGGCGGCGCTGTCGTGCACCCTGCCCTGGTTGATGGCGGCCACGATGTCGAACAGGATCTCCCTCACGTCCGGGCCCGAGTAGTGCAGGAACTCGAGCTCCTCGTAGCTGACGCCGTCCACGGACATGGCGCGCGCCTTGGGGACGGAGTGGAAGACCTCCCAGAAGGCCTTCCTGTACTCGCTGTGCGGGCTGCTGCTCGGGCTGCTGCTCGGGCTGCTGCTCGGGCTGCTGCGAGGGCTGCTGCGAGGGCTGCTGCGAGGGCTGCTGCGAGGGCTGCTGCTCGGGCTGCTGCGAGGGCCCCTGCTCGGGCTGCTGCTGCTGTGAGGGCTGCTGTGAGGGCTGCTGCGAGGGCTGCTGCTCGGGCTGCTGCTCGGGCTGCTGCTCGGGCTGCTGCTCGGGCTGCTGCTCGGGCTGCTGCTCGGGCTGCTGCTCGGGCTGCTGCTCGGGCTGCTGCGAGGGCCCCTGCTCGGGCTGCTGCTGCTGTGAGGGCTGCCGTGAGGGCTGCTGCTCGGGCTGCTGCTCGGGCTGCTGCTCGGGCTGCTGCTCGGGCTGCTGCTCGGGCTGCTGCTCGGGCTGCTGCTCGGGCTGCTGCTCGGGCTGCTGCTCGGGCTGCTGCTCGGGCTGCTGCGAGGCGAGCCTTGTGCCTGGAGGCCGGGCCGTGGCAGCAGCAGGAGGCTCGGGGACCAGGCTGTCGCGTCGCAGCGGCCGGCCGGGAGAGCTCTGTTGGGGTTGGCGCTGGTCTAGGGCACCAGAGCGTCGTCCATCAGAGCGTGGCCCACCGGCCGGCAGCGCGTGTACCGAGCTGAAGTCCATGCGACCGGTGCCTTCGGCAGCGGCCGCGGGCGGCTGCAGCCGCTGAGGATCTCCAGGTCGGCTCCCACGGTGGCTGCCGCCAAGGGCAGCAACCATCGTGGGGACGCGCGAAACTTTTACTGTAGATGTGAAGAAAAGAGGTTACCCTTCGGTGTCGGACGAAGCATGCCCAGATGGGGATCGCGACCGAATGGTCACTCCGCAGGCACCACCCGCGCCGAGTTTGCGGTGTGCATCACCGGCCTCGAGCGCACACTGCTCTCTTGGCCGGTGTTGAGCAGCTTCAGGAGGCACCTCCTCGCACCGCACGCAGCCGCTGGACACCGAGTAGACACTTTCATCGCTCTCGTCGGCACCAACGAGGCCGGACGCAACGCCACCCAACAACGTGTGCGCGGCGCGTACCGTCCGGTCTCGCTCTCGGTTCACCCTGCGCAGCGCCTGGAGGAGCTCGAGACGCACCGCTGCAGCCCGACAAACCGGTCATACATGGACCGCGCGCAGAGTCTGACCCAGTGGATCGCGATACGCCGGTGCTACCATCAGGTGCAGCGGTACGAGGAGCACAGAGGCGCCAGGTACACGTGGATCTACCGCACGCGTACCGACGTCGTGCTGCTAGCAGACACGCCATTCGCTGCTGTGTCAGTGTCGGGTGCCACCGCGACCGGCCGCGTGTACACGCCGATCAATGGTATGAGCGGCTCGCGCATGTACGCGTGCGCAAATGACATGATCTTCGTCTGCCCGCGAGCGCTGTGCCGGCCGTACTTCGAGCTCCTTGAATTGTGGACAAGCCCTCATTGCACACCAGCGTCGTGGCCGCAGGTGGCCCCGTCCGAGCGATGGGGCGTGGCAGCAGCCGTGGGGATCAACGCCAAGGGCCGCGCGGTGCTGCCGGCGCGCACCATCTTTGCCGATGAGCGCACCGGAGCTCCTAACGGGATGAGCGGCCCGCCGACCGAGCCGTACTGGCTGCCACCAAAACCGAAGAAGATGGACGTCCACTATTACTTCTACGCTCGCTACTCGGACGGTGAGTATATAGAACCGCGTTCTCAGGTGAGACAGGTCCCATCCACTTGAAGAGTGATGTGTGTTCACAGGCCGGATCTGCACGTCGAGACCGCCCGGCTCCTCAGTGGTGCCGAGGAGGTGCTGCGGGCTAATGGCAGAGGCCCTCTGGCCGTACACGATTGCTCGGCAGTGCACCTTTGACCATGACCTGCACCAGCGGCCCGCCGTCAGCTGCCCGCGCTGGGCGTACAAGCAGGGCGGCGTGCGCAAGCTCGAGTGCCTCAGACTGATGTACGTCCCACCTGAGTACAAGGCGTGGGTGCAGCCCTACTTCTTGCGGTGCAGACAGATGCAACGAGAGTGGGAAGCCGCGACGAATGAGACTGCGCCGTGGGCCCCTCCCGATCATGGCACCCCCAAGCTGCGGCATCGGCCGCGCTTCTTGTGCGAGGACATTGCCAAACCGAATCGCAACAGGTACGAGTGGTGGCATGAGGATGTGCATACTATTTGCGCCGCTACCCCTAACACGCTGTCGGCGCCGTGTTCGAAAGTCGCGGGCAGTGAGGGCGCCGGGTGCTGGAGATAGGATTGGAGGTGAAAAATTGTCTCTTCTGTATAAACCTTTTGTAGATAGCACATTTAGACGCAGTCCAGACTCTCCAGTGTCCAGACCCACACCCAGACGAACGATGTGTCACACATGTGACGCACTTGACAAACCCCACCGCTTTGGGACCTATTTGAGGCGGTGTGACGGCATTCACAGGGCACGGGAAGCTCTCCCGCCGTGTCTGCGTGGCCCGCCCGACCCGCGGGGAACGGCGCGCGCCCCTCCCTGCGTCCAACGTGATCCGGCCCTCGGCAAGTCTTCGGTGTGGTTCTCTTCAGAGTCGTCGAGAGACGACGACACTGACGGTCGGCCGCCAGAAAACACGCCTGCGTGGATCGCGTCACAGCAATCCTCGCTACCCAACGCGGCGAAAGGATATCGACGGTAGGTAGGTAGGTAGTAAGGTGAAGAACAGCCAGGCTCGGACTGGACACCAACGCGGTATGGGTGGACGCTGGACAGATGATGACGACACGCACGAGCGACACACAGACACAAACAGGCTCACAAGACACACAGCCAGCTGGCTGCCACACACCCTGAGTTGGCGTACACATAACTCAAGGCCACATCCTCCCTGTCGCCCCCCCTTAGCACTATCGACGGCGGCAAGGATAAAAAAGTGCGCTGGTTGACGGCGAGCCGCCCGGGGCCAAGAAGCTCGCGGGATGAGCGTGCCGGAGTCGAGCAACGGCTCGCCCACGGAGCTTCTCGCCTCCGGCTTCCGCCGCGCTGACGTTGTTCGTCTGGTCACGCAGTGCCTGCACTCTCTTGGCTACGAGGCGCAGTCAATGCTGCCACGCCCATCCATCGCAGCACATGCACATGCACATGCACATGCACATGTGCACATGTGCATGCACATGCATGCACAACGCACCCCCTCCCCTCCCCGATTGCCCCGCAGCGCGCTGCGTCGGAGCTCGTTAACGAGTCGGGCGTGCAGTGCTGGCCGGAGCCCGTCTCGCGCTTCCGCGCCGCCCTATTGCATGGCGAGTGGGGCGCAGCTGATGCGCTCATCACAAACCTACACCTTCCCGACCCGGCGAGCCGGCGCGTGCGTTTCCTGGTGCACCGGCAGCACTACCTCGAGCGACTCGAGGCTAGCAGCCGTGCCACTCGTTCCCTCTCACTCGCTCTCGCTCATCACTCCAACCGCCCTGGGGATTCGAGCCACTCAAACCACTGAAAAACTCAATCGCATTAGGCTCACGACGCCGCCGGCGCCCTCGCGTGCTTGCGGGAGCGACTCGCGCCTCTGGAGCAGCCACATTTCGCGCTGCCACCTCCAGACGGGTGCGCTGCAATCGCAGCCGCCGGCGGGGGTGACGGCAAGAGCGGCAACGGCGGCGTCACGGTAGCAGGGAGGGAAGCGGCGCCGTCGGCGATGGCAAGGTGTGGAGCCGGCGGTGGTGGCAGTGGCGATCGCAGCGGCGACGGCGATCTCGGCGGGGCGAGACTTGGCGGGAGTGTGCAGGAGCTTAGCACCTACCTACTCTGCCGCAGCGTGGAGGAGCTCAAGGCGCGCAGCGGGTGGGATGGCGGCGGAGGCGCGTCGCGGCGGCTGCTCCTCGACGAGCTGCAGGAGCACATCCCTCCCTCACTCCTGCTCCCCGAGAACCGGCTCGAGACGCTGCTGCAGCAGGCAGTCCGCTGGCAGACATTGCACGCGCCCCCACTCACGCCCGACGACGTCTCCCCGTCGCTCTTTGAGGACGTCTCCTTTCGCCACGATGGTCTGCCTCGGGAGGCGTCTCTGGTGCTCGAGGGCCACGCGGACGAGGTGTGGTGCGTCGCGTTCTCGCACTCGGGCGCCGCCCTCGCCTCCGCCTCCCGCGACGGCGCCGCCGCCTGCAAGTGTTGGCCCCCTCGGGGAGCAAGTCTCACGTGTTCGCGACTCGTCCGCACAGGCGCTATCGTGCTGTGGGAGGCGACGAATCCGCAGTTCGCTCGGCGCGCGCTCATCCCGGCACACTCCGGCGCCATCGCTACTGTCGCGTGGAGTCCCGACGACACGCTGTTGCTCTCGTGCGCCGCCGACCGCACAGTCAAGTTGTGGAACGCGCCGGCGGGCGACTGCGCCGCGACCTTCCGCGAGCACACCGAGGCGGTGACCGCGGTCGTGTGGCTGCCTTCGGGGGCGCACTTCCTCTCCTCGAGCAGCGCTGGCAAGCGGGTCATCCTGTGGGACTTGGGCGGCAACGCGCTGCAGTCGTGGCACGGCCCGCGCGTCACGGACCTTGCCGTCGCGGCCGACGGCGCGCGGCTGCTGGCCGTGAGTGGCTGCACAGTGCGGAGCTGCCCGCTCACGGCGGGTAGCGACGGCACGCCGCGGATGGTGACAGAGGACGTCCACTCGTGGGATGAGACTGACGCGATCTCGTCCCTCGCGATCTCGAGGGACTCGCGCGCGGTGCACCCACTCCCCTACCCCACGGTACCCGAACCCACCCTCCCCTCCCCCACGGTACCCGAAGCCACCCTCCCCTACCCCATGGTACCCGAAGCCACCCTCCCCTACCCCACGGTACCCGAAGCCACCCTTCCCTCCCCCACGGTACCCGAAGCCACCCTCCCCTACCCCACGGTACCCGAACCCACCCTTCCCTCCCCCACGGTGCCCGAAGCCACCCTCCCCTACCCCACGGTACCCGAACCCACCCTTCCCTCCCCCACGGTGCCCGAAGCCACCCTCCCCTCCCCCACGGCACCCGAACCCACCCGCAGGTGCTCCTCAACGTGGGGTCGCAGGAGGTGCATGCTTGGGACGTGGACGGGCGGCGGCGGCTGGGCTCGTACTCCGGCCACCGGCAGGGCCGCTTCGTGATCCGCTCCGCCTTCGGCGGCAAGCACGACGGGCTTGTCCTCTCGGGCTCCGAGGACACGCAGGTCTACGTCTGGCATCGGCACAGCGGCGCGCTACGCCATCTCCCCATATCTCCCTCTCTGCCCACATCTGCCCACATCTCCCCATATCTCCCGCCGCCTCCCTCGGCGCGCGGCGGCTCCGCGACAGCGCGCCATGGCGACGTGCCCGTCCCTCCCCTCGTGACCGGGCGGCCACCGCCTCGGCCTCTAGGCGCGCTGCTGCGGAAGCTGCCCGGCCACTCGTGTGCTGTCAACAGCGTCTCCTGGCGCACTGAGCCGCCGATCCCCCGCTTCCTTGCCGCCCCCCCACGCCCCCCGCTGCTGAGTGGTGGACGCCCGTGTATAGGAGCCCGGCCTCGCCGCACCTGTTTGCCTCGGCTTCCGACGACCACACTGTCCGAATCTGGGGGCTGCCGCCACCCTCGGTTTCGTAGGTTCGCCCGCCGGCGGCTCGCCGTTCCTGCGCCCGCTGGGCCGAGGCTGAGGGGATGCGAGGGCCTCAGTGCTCTGCGGTCCCTGCAGCTGTGTATAGTAGAGAGGGGCGCTGGAGATCTGGAGCGGGTAGCGGAGATATCCAAGGCAGCCAGAGGCCAGAGGCTCCCGCGCTGGCACCCCGCTGGCAGGCTCCAGGCACTCTGCGATGTGCGAAACACGCGAAAGCAAAAGGGAGAAACCGTATGGCTATGCCTATGCGCTATGGCAGCAGACACGAGACAGGAGAGAATTCACCAGAAAAGGCAAATGTAAAGCCGTATTCGAAGAAGAAAAAATATATGTGTATTGCGAGAGACGTACGCGGTACGGTCGTGAGTGTGTCACAGTGTGTGCGAGACTCACTGTCACTCTCAGGACTCTAGACACTAGAGACTGAGAGGACTCTGCTTCTCTGCACAACTCTGCATACTCCAAGCCCGAAACCGGCAGCCGACCGCTCCGCACCGGCATCTCAGCCCTCATAATCGTTACGACAACGTCTCATAATCCCAATCGTTCACAGCAGCTCTCTGCTGGCCACTCTGTCCGTAGACAGTCCGCCCTCTATGGCGCAGGCTGGAGGCTCGCCGCTCAAGCCTTCGCTCGGCGCGCCGGCTGTGCCACCTTGCCACATGGGTCGCTTGCCGGGCGGCCACTATAGCGCCGTCACGGCGTGTCGGTGGGGGGGCGATCGCGGCTGCAGGTGGCCGCGCGCAAGGCACAGGGCAGCGTCGGAGGCGGCCGGGCGCGCGAGGCGCACCCGTTTTACGATCGACCACCTTCTCCCGCCCCCAGCGGGAGAGCGGCGGCGCGGGCGCCCATCCCGCGTGCGGCGGGGCGGGGTGCGGCGGAGGGGGGGTGCCATCCTCGATGCCGTATAGGGGCTGAGCCTTCCGCTGCAGCCTGCGCTGCATGCGCGCCTTGTACGGTGCGTAGTCGCCCTCCTCTGGCGCGTTGCCCTCTGGCGCGTAGTCCTCTGGCGCGTCCCAGCCCACCTCCCCCCCCTCCTCTCCCCCCTCGCCGAGCCTCCGGATGGCCGGCGGCTCGGGGGCCTAAGGTAAGGTCAGGGTAAGGTCAGGTACACTTCTCCACACACACGAGGTGGTGGGGCAAGGGGCCGGGCAGCCCTCGCGTCTCCACGTCTAACGACAGCAGCCCCACGGCATTCAACGTGCAAGGCCCAGTGCGCGTGGGTGAGGTGTGTGTGAGTGTGTGTGTGTGTGTGTGTGTGTGTGTGTGTGTGTGTGTGTGTGTGTGTGTGTGTGTGTGTGTGTGTGTGTGTGTGTGTGTGTGTGTGTGTGTGTGTGTGCCGCGAGTGTGTGTGTGTGTGTGCGTGTGTGTGTGTGTGAGTGTGTGTGTGTGTGTGTAT